AGTGGGTTTTTTGGTGTTTTGTGTCTGTTAGTTTTGTGTTTTATGCAAGTGTATTTATTCATGCACTTTATTTTTAATAGGTACGTGGTTGGAGTGATTGTAGTTGTAGTAGGTTAAAAGTACATGTGTAGTTTTTAAACACATCTTCAAAAATGGTATGCTTTATACAAATTATTTTTTAAAAAGGAATAGTGTGTCAGATTTGCATTGTCCTATCACACTTTTAAGTGTCCACTAGTAGATTCATACAATTAAAACACTGTGCCTGAAAAAAAATTGGTACAAACATTTCATAGTAAATGAGGAAAACATATACATCACATAAATAAAGAGAAATGTTTTTTTTAAAGTTACCTTAAGAAATGAAAATGAATTTAAAATTCCTAAAGTACCTCAGAGAAGATAAGATGGGAGAGTTTGGCTTAATTAATTTGGCTTGGTGTTGGTGGCAATGTCAACGTTCAGAGTTGCACCCTCCACCAAAGAAGGAGTGCAAAACTGATTAACTCTATATCTTTTCTTACGTTTTTTAATCTATTACAACAATTTTCACAAATCATGCATCTCTCGTTATGTTATTCAAAGAAACAGGACTCTGAAATTGAATCTCTGGAATTCTCGCCACTCACAAAACTGGGTGCCAAGGGTATCACACTGTTGCAAAAGGTTAATTGCGAAGATAGAGAAGCATTGAAAGAGACAGAAAAGGATGAGAAATCATGAACAGATGGAACATGAAATCATACCAACAAGGATCACAGCTGCAGACTTTGCTTCTTGCTTTTTGTCACACAGGGAACAAAATAGCAAAAGGGCATGACAGGTTAAGTAGAAATAGTTTTATCGGGTTCACCATCACTTCTCCATATAATAATGTTTGAAAAGGAAAATATCTCTGAGACCTGTCACTCATTGAACTCCCCTTGCTCTCCCACTCTGAGTATTTTTATATGGACAAAAAGTACAAGACACTATTTCAGTGTCTTCCCATGGTGCAAACTGTGTACAAAATGTACACTTTGCTAGTTCTTTCAGAGGGAAGACCACGTCCCGTCAGGAAATACTAGAATGAACTAATTCATCTTGGAATTTGGGAATTATTTATTAATCACATTTCTACCCCTCCTTTCTCACCCTGGAGGGGGACTCAAGGTGGCTTTCAAGGATTTGCATGTTTCCCATCAAATCTTGTTTTACTCAGAATTATCCAAAGTTGGATTGTATACACCAGTCCTCACATCAAAATAATTGTACATAATATCCCTGAATTTGATTAGTACAGTAAACACTAATGGACATAACTGAAGATAAACGAATTAAGCATTATTCAAAATCTGGCATAACCCAAGTAGTGCTAATCAAAGCTTTACATTATCCGTGTTCAGGCATTATGCTTGAATAGGAAATTTTGAACAGAAGGGAAGCTTGACAATGCTTTTAACTACCATGGCACAATACTTTGAAAATTATATCTCCCACGTTTCCATTGAGCCATGGCAGTTAAAGTGTGTCAGAATACATTAATTCTAAAGTGCAAATGCACCCTTGGTGTTGTCCAGGATGATACCCAAATATATAGAAAACCAAGTCTGAAAGAGCTGCCAGATTTAATGTATGTCAGAAATGTTTTGAAAAGGAAATAACTTGCAGCATCAGAAAAAAAAAATGGAGTCAACAATGTAGGTTTGGGATAATAAAGCTGAATGAGGTCTGAAGAGTAAAAATTACCATATATAGACCAAGCAACACTGGGCTTGGTCCACCATCCCCATCCATTCAAACTACTACTGAAGGGGGCTCTTTGATCAAGGGAAGTTGATCAAATGCTGGTGAGCACACAGACGTTCACCAGCATTTCTCTGCCAAGAGAGCTGGTGCCTCACCAAACTACAAACTCCAGGATTTCATAGCATTGAGCCATGGTAGATAAACTAGTGTCAAACTCCAATAAATGCATACCAAGAGTGTTTTAATTGCTTTTAACTGAGGTGTTCTGTTTGACATTTATATCAGTATTCTACAGAAATGAAAGACAATTTAGAAAGCTACAACAGGCACAATTACCTTCCTGAATTTCCCAAACAACTGAACAAATAGAAAAGTCTAGCAGAGACATTGAAAATTCAAACCCCATCAAAGACTGCACCTGTAAAAGTTTCCTTTTGAAAAGTCCAAACTGCAGTTAATATACAAGCAAATTAATGTTTGGGACAAGTAGCTTGATATGTGAAAATATAACTGACATTGCTAAAAATGTAGTCAGTATCATTTAAATGAGCATTACAGGTGGAACAAATGTAAGCAGATTATTTCACACATTTTTTTCCAAGGCAATCATTTAAATTTTCTAATATATTTGAGAAGGCTGCATCTGTTATCAAAACCTCAGATATGCAGCTGCAAAAAAAATTACACAGATATGTAAGCTCAACCAGTAGGATTGTGTTTTCCTTCAGTAGGCATTTACTTGGCTCTGCAGAGCACTCTGGAGAATTGATTGCACCTATAAATACAGGCATCGCTCTGTCCCTTGTCTGCTTGTTTTGGGTAGCATGAGATAAGATGCTGTTTATGTAACTGCAGATTAACTGCTGTATAATTTAACATATGGCATGTGAAAAAAAAGAAGGAACTATGATCTCCCATGCAAGTAGCTAAGCTAGTTGAAACATCCCCTTGTGCCAAAAGCAGCATCCTTTATCTCAAGGAGCAGTCAAGAGTGCTGGCCTTTGAAGAAATTCTGTGATGGATAAATCTGTTTATAATACCTAAGTGCTGAGTCCCTCACTTCCTAATTCTGTACACAAAGTTATACTGTGACATCTAGACAATTCAGATAACAAGGTATGCTTGGGAAAGAACTGGAAATCAGAGACTTGTGTGACTTGGTTTAACGTTGTCCCACAGGTATTAATTTAGTAGTGTAAAACTCAGCATAAAGTTACTCACTTGAGTTCTTTTCGCTCCCATACAGTTCAATGCATTAAACAGTGGACTGGTTTCTACTCTTTATCAGTAATGAATTGTTCTATAAATGTTTGTTTTGTGCCTTCAAGTGGTTTCCAGCCAATGTTGATTTTAAGGCAAACCTATCATAGGTCTTTTCCTTTGTTAAGAAGAAGTTTCCATTGTCTTCCTCTGGAGCTGAGAGAGGAACTGTGACTTGCTCAAGGGCTCTTAATGGGATTAATGGCTGAGCAGGAATTCAAAACCTGGTTTCCAGAGTCATAGTCCAAACGACTATAACATGGCAACCCTATTCAGAGGTGTTCAAATGGTTTTGAACTCAGTCTTCGAAGCCCGTAAGCAGTTGCTTTGTATGACTCCATTTCCTTCAATTGTTTTATCCAATAAAGCTGGGACTTTGATCTCACTTTCCTCACATTTCGTTTCATAGCAGAATGATGACCGCCCCACAAAATTTATTTATTTATTCACTTATTTACTTACTGTACTTTATTTTTACCCTGCCCTATCTCACCCTGAGGAGGACTCAGAGCGGCTTCCAATTTTGACAAACATTCAGTGACACAAATTGACCAACATTGTTGTGACCAACATTGGCTTTTCTTTATTGAAACTAAGGACACAAAACCACTTAAGATGGCATCAAAACAGTTGCGTAGAAGCCATTTTCACTCTCCTTCTGATAAGGGTCATACTCTTATCACATGCAACCTGTCACTGACTATATGATAGTTGTATTAAATATAGCTATCTTTTCTTTTTGCCACCAGTAATTTTCCATCATTATCTCTTTTAATGTTTATCTCATCTTTCTACCTGTAGCCTGTCCGGGGGGGGGGGGGGGGGGGCAGAGAGCTCTTGCCAGAGGTCTGAACAGTTTGCTGGCAGAGGATTTATAAACTTAGCCAGAAGGCCACTTGTGGTCCAAAGGTTGCCACCCACTGCATCTTAATAGAGATATACGGGATCACTTCTATGGCTTGTCAAGGGCATGCAGAGTTTAGGAAGCACAGAAATGGTTCTTTATCCACCCAGTTTGCTCTATACCAGAGTTCAAAATAAGTTCATATAACACAAATCACTTACATCTATATGGTATCTATTATCACACAGTTGATTGTGTTCCAAAATGCTTTTTGAAACCAATCTATACTTTCCAAGGTAGATCAGAAACGCAAACAGTATTAATTCCAGTTCATATATTATCACAAGGAGGAAAAACCGTTCAGTTAGATCTCAGTTTTCTCAACTGCACTGACTGTTTCTCTTGCTCTGGCCAGAATTCTTTAATATCAAATTGCTTGTGCATTGTATCTTTGCACAAAGTAGCCTTATAGTTTGCCATCTGAACAGGATAGTAAGACGTCCCTCAGTAAATGAAGGGAAATTGGCTAATGTCAATGGAAAGTAGAGCTGCATGCTATACATACATACCAACACCTGGAAAAGAGATACTACCAGCTCTTTCTAAACCCACCTATATCTTCAATGCTTGGAGTAGCAGGTAAATTGGAGTTAAGGCCACATGGAAGGAGAGGGTTGGAAAACCTGTTGAGAAGGCACATGGATTTCTAATTGACTCTCCTCATAGTGTCTTACTGTAAGGGCCCCTTTGAAGAATTGAAGACATAGGTAGCTCTATAAACAGCTGGTCTCTGGCAAGAAAAACATGCTAGTAAATATAGCTAGCATGGCAACATCAGGAGGGTGTGCCGTTTTGCCAGAACAGAATAGATTCTCAGGCCATTTATCTAGCTCCATTTCTTGTTCTCAATCTCTCTCGCTTATATACACACACGCATACAAACACACATCGATTACAAATTCCATTTGCTCTTTTTGTTCTAGTTGATTTAAAGGACTGCATGAATACATTTAGAATGAACTCTTTCATTTGATTCATCACTCTGAAATGAAAATGTAAATGACTCTTATTACATGTATGTCAAGACTCTCAATTTTGTTTCCATCTGAACTGCTTTTAAGCTAGAGTACTTTAAAGTTCACTTGATTTCATATCCAAAATGTCTTACCTTCTATTGCTGTTAGAAGAACTCGTGAATGGTCATAAGCAATAACATTTGCATATCTATTCTTTGGTTTATTTACTTCCAAGTTCGAATGTTCCCATGTGAATTGCTGGCCTGGGTCAATTGACTTTGAAAAAGAGAAAGGAGAGAAAAAAACAGAAAAAATAGTCATTGCCTGGTGAAGAACTATTTTTTATTGAGAAAATATTTATTTTTGATAAAACATGTTTGTATTTATTATATAGCACTAACCACTCAATCGTGGGGTTGATTCCACTACATTTGTCACACTGACACTTACTGGCAATTACATTAAATCACCAGCCTTTCCCAGATGTATATTTGTTTCTATATAAAACAAGACAAAAATCAGTCGAAGAGATGCTTTATTTCTTTGATAAATATGGAGAAGTGAACAGACAGAGAATGAGTGACAGTCCAGGCTAAATCAACATATTGTGGGAGGTCCCACCCAAGGCTCTACAGATGAGCGAGGTCACGCTAAAGAAGAATATTCTTCTTTGTGCATCTCGAAGACAAAAAGAGCCAATTTATTTTACTTTCAGAGTTTGAAATTAGGATTTTTAAAAACCAAATGTTATCAATGCTTCCCTTTTTTTAAAAAAGGACATTCAATAGAATGCCAAGTTTTTAAACTTTGTGTTTTCTCAAATTCATCACAATCGTATCCTTGGGTTTGCTCCTGACATGATAAATAAATATTTTTAAAAAGTCTGACGTTGCAAGGAATATTATTTTTAAAATGTTTACATCCTACCATATAATATGAGATTTTAGGATGTCATACCAGTTAAAACCATTTGAACAGTTTGTAATAATTACATTTTTTTTTACAATAGATGTTAAAGTGTTTCGAAAAAGTGAACAAGTTCAAACAGTTTAAGGGGTTAAAGGCAATTTAAAGTCTTATACATTTTGGAAAAATCCTATGAAGTCTTAAACGTTTTAATAAAAAGCCACAAATGGCACTTGGTGTTGGAAGAAAGCCAACATTGTTTCTAATTGGGCCTCCAAAGGGAGGACATGCCACAAATGGGATGCCAAAACAGAGAGCGTTCTAGCCTATGACTTCCCACAGTGCATTACTTCCACTGGTATGGGATAATGTAAATCCCTCCAAGCTGACCTTGTATATAAGTAGTGGTATTCCTTCAAGAATCAAGGGCCAAAAGTATTTAGGACAATGCCACTGTTCCTACAGTGTCCTCTCTAGACATTTTCCTGTATCATTAACAGGCTATTGCAGTTTATTAAACAAACTGACTATAATAGGTGAAGTGCTTGTAATGTTGAATAATTTAAAAGCAGGTATAATGGGGAAAGCATGGCATTTCCACTGCCCCGGGAATGATTTAGACTCTGATGTGTGTTTACTTTTACATAACCCTTAACAGCACTATTCCAAAAATGTTTTACAGGGGTGAAAATCCTATCAAGCTACTTCTACACACAGATGACAATTTTAGCTCTGCTCTTGGGCTTTTTTTTTTGTAACTTTGAACATTCTCCTCTGTCTGGATTTTAGGACTTGATCTAATCTTCTGCTAGATGTCATATTAGTAAACCAGAACTTTATTTAATATCAATGCGCATTATTGCATTATACTGTGTAAATACAAGATATGCAGGTATACACTGTGCAGCCAAAACTGCATTTAAGAAAAGTAAAGAAAACTGATAGCTTTCTTTTCATCATTCAGGAATCTAGGTATTTTGCATTATTACAGCGCTACTGGAGAGCTGGGGGAGCTATAAGTGCAAATATTATACTGAATTCAGAGTCCAAAAAAACAACAACCATGAAATTTGAATCATACCAATAGTGAAAACTTGAATTAATATCCATCAAGCACATATTTGCATAGTTCCCGGTTCTTTCATGGCTACAAAACTGTTTCTGTATCTATGGACTTGTGTGTGTGTGTGTGTGTTTGGTATAATGAAAAGGCACGTAAAAGAGAGCATTTGTACATACAGATTCACAATCCATTGACAAAAAAGAATAATAAAGCACCTATAAACTAGTAAGGACACATTAGTCTTCTGAACCTACTTGCAACTTTGATTTTAGACCTCAAGGACTCAAGGTAAGAAATGAGATGTCCACAACAATGTAGGAGAAAAGGGGCAGCCAAGATAGAAAGACTGTGATGCAAGTAAGAAGCAAGATAAACTGATGGGCAATATGGTACTGGTCACTGCTGCTTTATGATTTACAATGCTGTTATCGAGTTTTCCAGCATGGATCATTTAAGCAAGCAAAAGAAATGTAGGCTGACATAGAGGAGTGGCATCCTGGCCAAAAATGTATAATGCATTTTATGTTATTTTGGTGGTTGGAGAAATGCCACAGCAATGAAAATGTTGCAATTATTCTCCATAGCACAGGGCATTTTAGGTATCCCCACCTTCACCCCCAATAATCTCATCTGGGGAAACTGCCACTACAGTAGGCATGGGCAAACTAAGACCTGGGGACTGGATGTGGCCCCCTGGGCATTAACCTCAGGCCCTCCTCATTTTCCCTGTACTCTTGGCATAAGGTCAAGATGGCCTGCTGTGTCACCATGCCAAAAGAAAGCAAAGAGCAGCTGAGAACACTCTGGAGCGCTCTCAGCCACTGTGTGTCTTGGCCTTCTCCCAGCATAAGGATAGTGTGAGCAATCCCATCCTTATGCTGGGAGGACAGCTCAAGGAAGGTATGTTGCAGCTGAGAACTCTCCAGAGCACTCTCAGCTGCCATCTAACTTGCATTCCTAGCAAATTGCCACGAGGACAGCCTGAGGATCGGGGGAGGAAGATCGGGGCAGTCACTGCGTGTCCCACCCTCCTGGCATAAGGATGGGGCAAGCAGTCCCATCTTTCTGCTGGAAGGACAACCTGAGGATGACCCAGGCCCTGCCCTGCTCCCTTCTGGCCCAGTCCTTTCCTGGGCCCTTCTCATCGTGGGCCCGCCCCACCCAGCATGCAAACAGCCCCCTCCCATCTGGCTCATCCCTCCCGGCCGAGCCCGCAATGTGGCCCCAAGGCAAAAAAGTTTGTCCATGCCTGCACTACAGTATATCATGTTCAGGAAAAGGGGTAAAAAACAGTGTTTTCTAGGGATTACCAAATCCCACTCCTCTACATTCTACTGTTTCTTTCATTTAACTGAATCTTTGGGGACAGGAAAGAATTATTTGCATGATGCTGAAAGGAAGAGTTTTTACTCACTTCAGGCTAAGTTTCTAAGGATATTTACTTAAAAGTAATGAGTTCAGTGGGATTTGTTTCTGAGTAAATATGATTTGGCTCACACTAGTAATAATCAAAGGTATTCTATCAATTGTTGGCATTACAAGCAGCAACCCTGACCTTGTCATATCCTTTCTATTGAATCATATCAGTATAATAAAGCAGAGGATTTGCCTTGTATCTCCTTAGAGAACTAGGGAAATGGTTTTTGATATATTTATTTCACATCTAACTGTACGGATATCCATGAATAAATCCAGGACAACAAACTTCATGATTAGGGTAATATTTGAGTAAGTGATTAGCAGCAGCAAATACCAGAGTGAGAACCTGATATTTCTACACAAAATAAGCTCATACTGCACTGGTTTTTCTCAACTGAACCACTTATGTGTGACTGACATTATGAAGAGAAGGCTTAAAAGATTAATCTTTTAACTATGTGCATGATGAGGAAAAGCCAAAAAGAAAAATGCATGTCCTTCCTATTTTCTTAAGCTTTAGTAATTTATCCAAAAGAATTGGGGGATACAAGCTTTACCCTTTCCAAAAGCTTTGTCTGCTGTTACTCACAGTTTTTATGAACCTTTTCCTGAGGCAAAAATCATCTACCTACAAATCTAGTGGTACAACTGTTGCTTTTTTATTATATCCTAAGTCTGCATATCACTCAATAACAAACGGAGCACTTCATTTTCTAGTTCACCTTTTCCAATCCACCCTTCCCCTCTTTAATGGACAAAGCCACAGTTTGACTTGGGACCAAATTTTTGTCAGAGGCATGACACAAAAAATCTTTGTACACACAGAACTAATGCATGCATTTCAGTATATCTGCAAATAATCCATCCCAGAACTCTCTGCCTCAGAGTGTGCTGGAAGGTCCTTCTTTGGAGGCTTTTAAACAGAGGCTGGATGGCCATCTGTCAGGCATACTTTGTGCTTTTCCTGCATGGCAGGGATTGGACTGGGTAGCTCATGGGGTCTCTTCCAACTCTATGATTCTACTATATAAAGTTTCCACAGTGTGGACCAGGACTTTTGCAGGTTCACCAGAGCTATTGCATTGTTGTTATTAAGTGTCAATGACCTGAAAAAAACAGATTAGCACTAAACATGAAGAAAATAAGCCAAAGTTTTTTTCATTCAATTCAGCTTAAAATGGAGAGGTGGAGTGGGACACAATAGCAGTCAATTTTTTTATGAAACCAGAGTTCTACTTGTTGGGGATGCTGGGTGATCAATATAAGAATACTCGTTTATGAAGATAGGTGAATCAGCTGAGATGGACAAGCTGGCGATGTTGATCAAGATAAACCCCAAGAAAAGGATTTATTTCTTACTTTTTACATTAAAGATAGATACAAACTTCTACTATTGTTTTTCTGATTTAGAAGACTGCTATTAAAAGTAGAAGGGTGGTTATACAGTGATATTTTAAGGGAACTGAATATTTAGAAGTCAAAACCAACAAGCAGAGAGTGTGACGCTTATAGATTACTTTTTACTGATGTATGTGTTTAGTAGGGGGCTATGTGGGTTGTTAATTGTTGTAGTGTAGTTATTTTTCTCTTAAGTACTATATAGAGTCACAAAATCAGCAGTTTAGGAGCAGAAAAGACTAGGATAAATGGACAGACTGTTATATTTTAATATTCATTTTCTTCAAGAAAACAAACACAAACATATCAACAAAACAAACATGTACAAAGAAACATATTGCACAAAGCAAAAAGACAATATCTCCTCCCCCCACTCCCATGGAATATAGCCCAGGAGTTACATTGTCAAGTAGAGTTTTGCAGAAGGGACAAACATTTTAGCTGAACTTCTAGATATCCCCTACTAAACATTATATAGCATGTAGAAATG